ATAAGCCCTCAATATCCAGATGGAACTGTCTGCTAATTGATACCGTTCGGTTTCAGACTCAGTAGTGGATGGATTTCTGAATCACCTACTGGCTTGCCCCAAACACGTAACTTTTTCTGTTGGGTATTCAGTTTCGGAGTAACTGTCCTCCGAAAAGATTTCTAATTAGGAGTATTCCAATTCGCCAGTAGTGGTTCGAGCCAGTGTGATAAAGAAAACCGGGTCTGTTCTATTTCATCCTCACCACTGTTCTAAGAAGGCCATCGGTTAGCGCGACGCTGACTAGGAAGTATGGACATTTCGTTCATTGGTAGTTCGCTTCAGCTGGCCTGCTGTTTTGCCATTTTATGACTCATCCTGGCCCCCGTTAGATCCCGTCGTCACGCTTCCTACTATGGGATGTAGTCCGTTGCGAATTCTGCTTCGAAACAGAACGAGTGGGTAACTCTCACTTTCTCCGTGTACCAGCGGCGTGGATAGGGGTTTGGATGCTACTGCTCAAGCTTCCCGTCTTCTTATTCTCCTTGCTCTTTTCACTATTAACGTCCCGTTCCAACTTAACTTTTATCCCCGCTTTTTTCAAACCACCATACGTTTGGCCCTCCCCAATCTTCCTTTCTTCTAGTTTTAACTCACACGCAAGCGCTGCGTCACTCCTTCATTCCGATAAGCCCATGTCCAAACGGATAAGCCCAGTACATCGGCTTCTATTTAGAGCCTTCAAACTTCATTCAGATTGGCGTGCCTCAATGTATGCACATTGTTTCAGATCGGTCAACAGGCAGCACCTGCCCGAACATTAGAAACCTTCTCGATCCACATCTGCTGCTTATCGGAGACCCGCCCACAAAACCCGAGTTCTCTGCTCACTCTGGGATCCCCTTCAGATGACACCAGCAGTGCTTTCTCATTGTGCCTACCCGGAGACGATGCAACATCGAGTACCGACCAAGCCGGCGTTGGTTTTGCCTTGAGTCCCCGGGCTGAAGCTGCTCTGGTTGATTGGATCCCAATCAGTAGCCGGCTGTGTGCAGTCCGACTAGCTGGCTTGTTTAATGCTTCGAAGTCGCATGGGGCCTGTTTGTCATCGCTACCTACGCTCCCACAAACTAGCGATAACTCGGTAAAAGACGACTTCTATCGCCAACTGAACGAGCTCCTTCGCCCCAGAAGGAGCACGGACACTAGTGCTGGCTAGGGATCTGAACGTTCAAGTTGGGAAATTGTTCACTGGTGAGCTGCATCTGGGCGGCCAACATAGTTTAGGCCCCCGTAATGATAACAGTGAGCGCTTCATTTGTGTTAAAATGCCCGCTTATTTTTTACGAGCACTAACACAGCACCCGTCGGAAAATGACATGGCGCCCACTAGCCATGGACGCAAATCGATCACATCACGATCAGTTATTGCTGGAGAGGGTGTATCCTAAACTGTCGCTCGATTTGGAGCGCATGTAGACAATGACAATGCACTTGTATGTGCTTATCTGCGGGTGCGTATTGGCGTACACTCGCGACAATGCTGTGGACGCATGGATGCCCGTCAACTGGAGAAGTTAGATATTCTGAATGCGTATCGATGTACGCTAACATTCGGCTTGAACAAGCGCTCACTGAGTACCGTTGAAGGTCACTAGTCGCATGTTTACCAGTTTTTATTAGTAACAAGCAAATCCTCATGTGGTAAATCTGATAGCGAACCTAAACATTGGGTCTCTACGCGCTATCTGGAACTTATGGATGCTTACCGGCGCATTCCGGCTAGAAGCGAACACAAATGGACTCATAAAGACATCAGGACAATACTCCGTGGTAGCCTGAAGATAGACCGCGCAGACTTGTGGTCTCATCGTGCGTCAGAGATGGAAATGGCAGCTGCCCTTGGTAAACATCGGAAGTTATTCCGTCTGATACGAGAAACGAGCAGCAGAAGGCCTGATGTTAATGAGACTATATGCGACCAGAGTGAACAGCCTATCCACAATTTGGCGAAACGCTTAGCGTTAGACTGAGCAATTTGAAATGCAATTTAATCGGCCACATTGTCAGCTTGCTCACCTGCCAGTGATCGCCTTGCTTTCTGGACTATCCTTTTGTATCCGCCCTCGCTCAAAGTCAAACGTGAGATCGGACTGCTGAAATTAAACAAGGCCGCAGGACCAGATGATCTTCCTCCAGCCCTTGATTTCAAAAGGTATTGAATGCGAATCGTTTTTTTAGGTTTTTATTATGGCAACGTTTCGCTCTTGACGCAGGAGCTTCTTCAGGCCACGTGAATCGGTACACAATTGGCCTAGCTTTTTATGGGAAAGCATGGTGAAGATCGCAAGAAACAACACGAATCATCGGATAACAGTGTTACAGCTCAGTACGTCAAGTGGCCATTCCAGCGTAATAACGAGCATCGAGCGTTTCCCATTGATCCGCGTCACTGGTCACATGTGAGGCATTCCTGTTCCTGCAGCTGCTGATTCACGTTCCGATCTGAGTTCGTCCACCGACACCTTTTCTGACTGACCGGGTTAAGACAGCCCGATTTATATTCAAGGCTTTCTGAAATCATGAGATCCCAGTCGGTTCCAAGCGTATTCCGAGATATTGAATTCCTCCAGCCCTCTTCAAACTCGGGGGACTTGCTCCTGTGGATGATTACATGAGTTATTAGTGAAACTTGGAGTGCAGGAAACTATCACTACCGATTTGCGCCGCTCCGTTATTGTCCTAATCTTTAAGGGAAGCTCACCTTCAGAATGCGACAACCATAGAGGAATCAGTCTGGTCTTCATCGCCTCCAAGTTACTTGCCTATCATCCTTCACAGATTGACTAGCATTCGTGGAAGCCAGATTCGGGAGGACCAAGCCGCTTTTCGTCGAGGTCGAGGCTACGTCTTCACTTTGCGTCGATTGTTGGAACACCGTCACATATATTGGTGGCCCACCGTAGTCGTGTTCCACGACATCAAAGTGCCTTTTATTCGGTAGATCGACGTGCCCTTTGGGACTGTCTGTTAAGGAAAGGTGTGGAGTATGCTGACGACATTGTCCTAATCTGTGCCAGCGACCAAACGTGCCAAACAACACTAGACAGATTAGCACTGCCTGTCAGTCGTTCCGGGCTTTGCTTTGCACCCTCGAGGTGCACATCTTTCCTCCAAGAGTAACAGGGATCGCCTCCTGCGCTGATTCTTGGTGGGGGTCAGCTAGAGGTCGTTCAAAGATTCAACTACCTCGGCAGTTGTATCAGCGCCTGTGGAATCGAAGGCAAGGTCACAAACCGTATGATAAAAGCCCGAGGCGGTTTTGCTAACTTTCGCCACCTATGGCGCCGACGAGACTCCACTCCCTCTCCGAAGGGTAAAGTGTGCAGTGCTCCTATACTTTCGACCCTACTGTACGGTTGTGAAACCTGGCCCATTAAATCGGCCGACCTAAAGTGGCTAGTTACGTTCAACAACCGGTGCCTTCGCATCTTAGCTGTTGTCTGGTAACAACACCACCTGAGCAATGAGCCTGTTCGGCGCCTTCTTTATGGCACAGAAAGTGGAAGTGTACCCCTGATCACTGTTATGTCACGCAGCAGGCTCCGATGGCTGGGTCACGTGTTGCGCATGCCAGCCTACCGACTCCCGTGACGTGCCTTGTTTACGCGCTGGTGGCGTGGCTGGAAGAAGTGGAGAGGAAGTGGAAGAGGAATGAATTCCCTTACTTTGAATTTGGCCTTGCTTGGACCCTCTCGGCTCCCTGGTAGGGGCCCGAAGGACTTTGAATGCGTTTGGCTGATTACATTTGTTGATATAGTTAGGAGCCAACTTCAGTGCCCTTTGTCTTGTGTTTCTTTGTCCTTCCCTCTAACCACAATCTCATTTCCGACACAGTATGACTTGTTTGAGGCAAATAGTCGGCTATTAGCTCTCCGGAACGATGTCCATCAGCCATTCGTGGCCCAGCCGGCGTGCCACTTTGTGTATTTTTCTTTTCCATTTATTGCGGCACAGCAGCTGAGGTGTTTCTCACCTCTATCTAACGTGTATAATCAATGATAAATTCTCCGTGTACCGCTGATGAGGTGTTAGATGACTCGGTTACTGGTATGGACTCAGTATTCAACACTGTATGGAACACTGAAGACAACTTCCGGTTGGCGTTTATCAACTGTCATCCCCATATATAAAATGAGTCATAGTACCTTGGGCGAGTCATCGATACATTGACTTGTTCATCTTTACTTTTGGCCGGTTCACACTCCTTTTACGGTAGCGATTATCTGGCTGTCATTGTCATAAAGTCAGCAATGTCTGAGCTATCTTCCGCTTCATTCTAGGTTGAATCGACGAATCTTTTACGCTATCAGGTACTCTGGTAGTAATATGCATATAGGCGACATAGCCTGCTAATTTTCTGCTAATTTAGCTTGCTGAACATCGATCATATGTTAATACTTTTCTAGATCTACTTCCTGAATCGAGTTTTTATGTCCCTTTTAGACGCAATACGATGCATGTTGAATCTCAATTCTCCACCAGTTGCCTCTGATATTCCTCAGTGGAAGGTAGATTGAATGTTTTCGCATAGCTCATTTTCGTTAGGTCCTCGTTTACGACCAACGCGGCCGCGATATTATTTCCCCTCTTTTCACCGTTAAGGAACTCCGTTCCTTCGGCGTAACTCTTCATCTGTGAGTTTGATCGTATCCGTCGTTGTTTTACTGCATAAATGTAGACTTTTAGATACCTCTCGGGAGCATATTCCAGATGTGCCTGCTATTTATTTTGTCGTCCCATCCAGAGAAAACATTGTAAAAATATGCGAAGTGTGTTCTTATCCATGCGAGAAACATTCATTTATTTTTTAAGGATTTTGAGTCTGGTCGCTACGAATCATATTATTTGAACTTCATCAGCCCTATCTCTCGGGAAAACCTTGAACTTATCGCTCAGTCTGCACTATCGGAAGACTGTGTACAGCAAATAACCAAAGTTTTCGATCAGTATACCAATTTCATCTGCCTTGAAGAGGACCTCGTGGTGTTGCAGCCACTCCCTGCCCAGCAGTTGTCATATTATGGTAGTGATGGTTTCTTTTCACTTTTGTGTGCTATCATTTGTGCTTAATTGCCGCTGTCACTTATTTAACATTATTTGTTTACTACAAGATGAACTACTGAAGTTTCGCATTTGACGTTTCTTTTGTCTCGACCCATCGAAATGTTGCCTGTCCCGCCCCCTATTCACTGTATGCTGTCTGGCTGTCTCCGCATATACCTTCAACTTTGCAAAACCATATGAAGCTATCCGGTAGATGCAGTAACCACTTCTTTGGTCTGGTCGATACAGGCAATGTAGCTACCTTGATGAACTAACCTACCGGTCACTTCAGATGTTTGTTCCCTGACAGCAGGGGCTGTATGTGCGTAGCACATTCCGCAATATACTGCACGCTTATCTGTCATTCTTCAGTCGTGATGACGCATGAAAAGTTTTCCTTCTGCTGCGCAAATTCGGTTCCGCACAACACAACAGATATTCTATTTTTATCTTACCACAAAACCCGCGCGATCGACGAGGCAGTGCAACCACTCACACAAATGTTTGGTGTTCAGTCATCCCTTTTCAATATTCCTTACTTGTGGAAAGTGGCCTGGACTATTTTGTCACATGTGCCAGTGTGGTTAATCGAGAATGTGAACGAGTCAAGCTACGGTCTCTCACAGACGACCATTTTCATCATTATCATCATTATACACGTTAGCTAGAGGTGGGAAGCACCTCAGCTACTGTGCCACAATACTTAAAAGAAAAAAATGCAGGAGATGCATGCCAGCTGAGCTGACGACTAGTTTCAATGCTTCATTTTCATATGCGATCTTCAGTCACCAAAAGATGCCGATATACCTATGCGGCTCTTAAGAAAGTTGAGCATACCTCAGATTACGCTGCAGTGTCACTACATAATGCCAGCACCTGATTTATCCGAAAAAAGATACGACCATGGTCCAAAATACTGACCGCCCTCTCGGTTTCATTCATTCTCTGGAACCCTCCAAATGTTTTGTAATCACCAGTCACCCGCCCCACTCCTTCAAAAGGAAGACACTCCCATCACGGTTTTGGCACTGCAGTGAATACTATTTTGCTCGTGCAGACACCACCGATGTCAGCGGTGTAACGGGGTTGATCATAGAGACGGATTTTGTCAGACTCGGTCCAGTTTTGGGATGAGCATGAGACCGAAACAGAGATCAGGACGTCTTACTCAAGCCATTCACTCCTGTAACCTGTCTACATTCAAGATGGATGTCGCTTCTGTCTGAAAATTCGTATGCATAACAATCAGCGGGTATGTCGCCAAACGTCAACTAGATACCACGTTCGACATCACGTTAATATCCAAGGATCTATTACTTCCATGCGTAGCCCACCTATTCAACCTACCTCCCAAGAAGCAACCAGTGCCTGTGGCAGTTCGGTTCTCCTAAGTTGTCAGCTTTATTTTCTGTCACCTTCGGGGATAAAACCATCACTGACGTATGTTATATTTCAGACTGCAACCTCAATCTTCTTGGTTTAGATTGGATAGACAAACTGGGTCTTGCCGCTTACCCACTGAACGTCATCTGTCGTCGACTCCAAGTTCCATGGGCAAAGTCTGTTGTCCGTGGTTTCTATTTTCTTCAGGATCGTCTTGGTTGTTACATACGAGCTCAAGGAACTCCCCGGTTAAAGCCTGGTTTTGTTCCATCGTTTCTCCCAAAGCGACCAGTGTTCTACTCTATGGTGATAGATCAGAAACGATGGCATCTCAAAGAAATGAGCGTCATCTCTCTGGTGAATTATTCTCCATGAGCAGCTCCGATTGTTGTCGTTAAAAAGTCAAATGATTTAGTTCGTTTATCTTCCGACTTTTCTTCTGGATTAAATGCATCTCTAGTAGATCATTGTCATCCGCTGTTTATTCCGGAAGATATCTTCACAATACTGGTGGAACTTCTTTTGTCAAGCTGGATCTGGTGGATGCCTTTTTGCAAGTCTAAGTATCCGCGCAGTCTCGTGAACCGCTAACCATTAATGCGCACTGTGCTTTGTTTCAGTATAACCGCCTACCGTTCAGAGTCAAGTCAGTTCCTGCTATTGTTCAACAGATAATGGACTATGGTCTCTGGCTTAACTGGCGCTGCATCGTATCTCGATGGTATCATTCTAATGTGTCGCACCAGTGAAGCGCTATCAAAGGATCTCTACGTCGTGTTGAGGAATAAGGATTCCGGCTGCAACCGGACAAATGCCAGTTTTTCCTCCCAGAAATCAAGTCTCTCAGTTATATCATCGATAAAAATGATCACCGTCGCGACCCTGAGAATCTGCGTGTAATCCAAGAGCTACCCGCCCCTAAGGATGTGTCCACTCTACGGTCTTTTTTGGTCTAGTGACTCACTATGGTGCATTCTTACCGACCCTCCACGATGTCAAAGCACCACTGAATAAATTGCTCTAAAAGGTAGTGTTTGGTCCCGATCACTAGAGTGTGAACATGCATTTAACCTTTTGAAAACTTTGTTTGGTTCCGACCTCATGACACATTGTGATCCAAATCTGCCCATCATAGTTGCTTCGGACGCTTCCAGCCAAGTCGTCGGTGCCGTCATCTCCCAAGTGTTCCCAGACGGATCGGAGAAAGCAATCATGCCTGCAGCTCGCGCGCTTACGACAGCCGAAAAGAATTATGCTAAGTCGAAAAAAGCTTTGGCTCTATTGTTCGATGTGCGAAGCTTCCATCAGATGGTCTACGGTCGCCACTTCCGTTTGATAACCGACTACCAACCATTACTTGCTATTTTTGGCTCCAGAAACGACATCCCGATGTACTCTGCCAGCAAATTGCAGCGCTACGCAATCTTGCTATTGAACTATGACTTTGAAATTTGTTGCCGGCAGACGCAAGATTCCGGGCAGGTATACGCCATCTCTCGGTTATTCACTGCAAACCGACAGGAGCAGGAAGACACTATAATCGCAACAGTCTCTGTGAAATCAGATGTTCGTGCACACCTGGCCGAGGCTGTTCTTGCAGTTCCGGTCTCTCTTCGTGACATCAAAAAAGAAGCGAACACCAATCCTGTCCTCCAGAAATCAAGTAAATGCGTCTGCAACCTATGGCCCACTACAGCACCCTCTGGAGACCTGCGGCAGCTTTACATTAGTCGAGACAGTTTGTCTTTAATCGAATCATGTCTAAGGTTTGCTGATCGCATCGTCATCCCTTCTTCGCTTCGACCGATCGCTTTTCGTCAGTTTCACACAGGCCATTCTGGTCGTGTATCCATAACAAAATAGTGACATTGCTCCAGCGGTGTTCCCGTTGCCTACAGGTCGCCAAAGATCCTCCGCGTATAGTCCCACAACCCTGTACTCAACCCAGTAAGCCGTGGTCGCTCCTACATATAGATTTCGTTGGCCCAGTCAACGGCCTTAGGTATCTAATCGTGATTGACGAAACGTCCAAGTGGCCCGAGGTAATCCCACTGTCACAGGTGTCAACATGGTCCACCACTTCAGCTCTGCGCAGAATTTTCAGCCAGCACGGGTTTCCAGATACCCTGGTTTCAGATAACGGAACCTAGTTTACATCCCCACTTCTGCCGTTGGAGCATTATTAATTACGTTCTCACCCCGTCATACAACCCTCAATCAAACGGTAAGTTAGAACGGTTTGTGGACACGTTCAAACGGGCTCTCTTAAAAACGCAGGGGGATGGAACTACGGATGAAAACATCCTAGATTTCCTTTCGCTTCACAGGAACACACCAAACCCAGTGACACCGAATCTTTCTTCCCCTGCTAAATGCCTAATGGGACGAAAACCGCACACCATTTTTGATGCGATGCTCCCGTCGGAAAGATCGTCACCAACCTCGGTACACACCTCAGGGTCAACATTTTCAGTTTATGATTTGCTCCACGCTTGTGACTACAAACAAAGTCATCTACCCTGAGGTCCAGCAGTGGTCGTAGGCCGCCGTGGTTCCATGATGTACGAAGTGACGGTTAGACATCATCATGGGGTACGGCACAAAAACCAACAGTCCACGCCACGACAGTGTCAGTTACCGATAATGAAGAACTTCCTTTTGAAATACTGTTAAACACGTTCGAGATCCCCCTGTGCTGATTGACAAAACTACCACGCACACCCCCAAATCGAATCTCACTGCAACCGTGCCTGCGTGTGTTCGTGCTGAATTGCGATAGTGGCCGTTGGATCGTAACACACGCGCAAGTCCTAACCCAGCCATCTAGACTAGCGCAGCAAAACTAGCTTGGTGAAGAAATACTCTCATTCCCCAAGACGCGACGTCCAACGTCATCACTATGAACTTCATACTGCCACAACACGTTAGCGATTCTCCTCAACCAACTGTTGCCGAAAGACGGCTCATGTCGTCCACGCAAATTGGCCAGGACTCACTCCCATAGAACAAAATTACACGCACAGAGGCATCGTAAACACGGCCCTTTATCGAGATGGAGACGTCCCGACGACGTCACTAGTGCCTCATTGACAAATGCTGATCCGGCTTTAGCAATGCGAAGAGCGACTTCCTTGTTAGCAGTGCGACTAGCAGAAACACTTCTCCCAACGTAGACGAAACTAACTACCTGTTCAAGTTGTTCACCTTTAAGAGTGATCACGGGAGTAGATGTGGGCCAGTTCTGGATCAACACTTTACACTTCCAGGGGGTGAAGTTCATGTTTTATTTAGATGCCTCAACCACCAAACGATTCAAAATGAGTTACCCACCTTGTGGATCATCACCAAATAAGGCGATATCATAAGCGTAGTCTTAGACGGTAGATCGCCCCCCGGTGAAATCTCTAGGCTAAAGTTTTGGAAAACTTCTACAGCTGTCGACAGGACGTCTTTGATTGCAAAGTTACAGAGGAATGGGGACATAAACAACCCTGTCGCACACCGCTATTGACAGGGAAGGGCGAGGAAAACTTGTCGTGGACTCTCACTCTACCAGAGGTGGCGGTATGCTTTTCTGCCACCCCGTTATTTCCTAAG